GGGTCTTCTCGAGCCGGTGAATTAAGATTCTTTCGTAAGATTATCATAAATGTATAATTTTCACGTGAAATGCAAGACCTCGGGTTTGTAATTATTGAATTATTGAGGGGACGAGAATGTAATTATTGCTACACGTGGAGCTCGTATCACTGATTTATAATGACTGGTTTCGGGAATTTTCACACTTGAAATTTTCAGGCATTATTTTTCGCGCTTTTAATGTCAGCTTTTTTCTGCAAGAGATGCTGCTAAAAGGGTTGGAGTACTTCACTATTTAAATTAAAAATCCATCTCGTCCACAAAGTGTGCCACATGAAAGAAATTACAAATATAACTGGAGAAAAAGAAGAGTTAATTTTTTCTCTCTCATTTTCCCTGAGTAAATCTACTCGGAGCAACAGTTTTCCCTCATGAAAAAGTTTTACGTAGCACAAAATAACGAGTAGGGTCGCCTTTCCGAGGGGAAAGAAACGGGGAGGGCAAGCGGCAGATTGGCAAAGTTTAAACAAAATGTTGCTAGCCGGTACGAGAAATCTCGAGATCTAACGACAATGTCGTTCTTCACAAAAAAAAGGGGCAAACAATGCGAAAAAGAAGAGGAGAGAAATGAAAGAAGGAGATCCGACAGAAAGAGAACAATTTATTCAAGAAAAATTGCGTTGTTTGGAGAAGTATTGATGTAAAAAAAAGTTGGGGGAGATAAACTTTGGGTGAAACGTGCGAAGAATAGCGGATGCCTCGGGTAGAACAAAGAGAACGATTGCGATTCATCAGCACGTCACTCCCGCAAACTGTTTATGGCAAATCCAATTGACGATAGTCTGCAATATCTCACGGGTATGTGTGCGAGTGTCGATAACTCGATGACTTTGCACTCGAGATAGACATTCAGAATTTATTCCGGGAAATATTCAGCATTCTAAATTGATGGGGGTAAATAGTGAAATGAAAATAAAAATGGGGAGATCGTGAGTCTGGACTCTTGATGATTTCGGTGGTAATTCAAAGTAAATTGATACGGAAATATGTTTTTCCTTACGCGGGGAGAAATATTCAGTAAAAATTACGGAACAATTCACGTAATCCGCAATGGGGAATCGTTTTCCGGAAATTTTTATAGGAATGGAAGAGAAGAAATCTGAAACGTTCTGTGAATTTTCAGGTTCATCACCGAACAATGTACGAAATTGTCACGTAATTTTTCCCGAAAACGTAAAATCTTACAGGAACTTGCCGACTTATTGTACCTCCAAAATCAAAAATTCTTTAACGTTCAACAATTTTTATGAAGCTGGTGAGCTATTTCTACGTTCCGTTCCGTAAAATTTCTCAATAGTTGGGGGAAAATTACGGAACGACTTGTTGTTCACACATAAATTCTACAATTTTTGCGGAACAAATTGTAGAATTTACGTAGCGATTTGTACAATTTCCAACTCACACTTTTTATTGAATTTTACTTCGCTCGTTTTTTACATTTTTTTTCTGGTAGTTTTAATTGAATTTTTCGCTCCGTGTATTCACAAAATTTCAATTTTTTTCTAACCGTGAATTCTAAAAAAAAGTTTAATAATTGAAGATGATTTTTTTTTCACTCTGAATTTCATGAGAGCAATATCCCCTTTTTTAAATTCTCTCAACTAATTTAGAATTTATTCCGAAACATATTCACCATTTAAGTTGATGAAAGTAAATCATGAATAATTTTTAGTAATTTTTATTGAATTTTTCTTCCCGTGTATTCACAAAATTTCAATTTTTTCCTAACCGTGAATTCTAAAAAAAAGTTTAATAATTGAAGATGATTTTTTTTTCACTCTGAATTTCATGAGAGCAATATCCCCTTTTTTTAATTCTCTCAACTAATTTAGAATTTATTCCGAGAAATATTCAGCATTTAAATTGATGAAAGTAAATAATAAAATGAAAAAACGGGGAAGATCTTGAGTCTGGACTCTTGACGATTTCGTTAGAAATTCAAATCCAGATATCTTACCGAGACTTGCGTAAACAAACGAGGTGGACCGAAAAGCGGTAGTTAGAGTGGAGGCAAAGTACTCGAGAACACGGGGAATGGGGGAGTGTACGCGTAGATTCTAGATGGCACCGGGTGGAGGCAAATATTTACGACAGACCAGTGTTGGTTGAAGAAAGAGAAAGACGACTGAAGGGGCGGAGGGAACGAGGGAACAAATTCTGGTCCTTGGTACATCTAGGTATTTCTCGTTATTTACCCCGGTAATATGGACCACAACTCCCGCGGAATTATTAATGATTTGAGGATTCCTGTAGTAGAGAGGAGAGCGTCAACTCAGAATTCACGGAATTCAGCGGATGAAAATTCTTTTCAACCGTTATAAATTTAATTTTCTCCGTAGAACGTGCAAAAGTTTTCTGTTTTGTGTTGGGTATTTTTATGGCGCGGCACGAGGGGTGGGACCGGGGGGAAAAGGGGATATACAGAATGGGGAGATGGGTTGAGTGAGTGGAGTACTGACGAAAGATGTGGAGACGTCTCGTCGCGGCGCCGCAGGGGCGAGCAAGCGTGCAGGCAAGTGATAATGTCTTGTATCATGTACTGGAGACTCACACGCATTTACGGGACTAACTGTGGGAATGTGTTTTGGCAAGTGGTGGCATCTGTGCTCAAGCATCCAGGGAAGACAATTCTGGGAGAGAAAAAAAAACGACAGTAGGGATTGTTTTTAACACTTTATACATCTAACCAACTCATCCTGGAAATTGTTCTAGGAAGATAGTAGTGATTCTCACGTTTTGCGACCTTGTAGCTGGTTGAGAGGAGGCGAGGAGAAAAAGTGAAAAGATGGAGAGACCATCTGACTTGTGGAGGCGGACGAAGGCGTGTGTGAATAAAGATTGAGGAGGATCAGACTTAAGTGCGTCCACAAACGAGATGAGTCGCGAGTAAACCAGGGCGAGAACGGGGAGATGAATGAGAACGAGATGGAGCGATGTCTTCCAGTGGATCTGTGCGCACTGGGCATGGAGTCGTGTCACGTTAGTGAGCGCGGAATCGATAAAACGCCCTGGAGTTATGACAACAGAGCTGTTGGCCAGAGGTTTGGGAGTGCCTAAACCGTTGGATTTTGACTCGCGACTCGGGCAAATGACTCACAACCCCTCCAACCGAGAGTCTGCATAATACGTATCCCGTAGGAATAAAAATTTTGCGCTCACACGCTCATGAATGAAACAAGAAATTCTCTCGTGAGATGGAAAACAACTCTCGATTGAAATAAAATTTTCAGAGACCGAGGAGAGTGGAATATATAGAAGGGAAAAAATCGAATGGTAAGAGCGTATATCTGAAAAAAGCCAAGAGGGAATAGCTTGAGAATAAAAAAAAACAACTCGAAGGAGCATTCGACAGGCGAGCTTCTCTCCCCCGAATAAGAAGTTAAATTGATAGAGCCCATGGCGCAGGAGCTAACCAACAGCCGAAAAAGGAAAAGAAAAATAATCTCACGAGTTACGAGTTACGTCTCGGTGTATTTTACATATTTAAATTGAATGTGTCGATTCCTTCGTTCAGTGCGATTGACAGCCAGATACACCGGGGGGAGGCGCATTTCTCTGGAGTTGTTGTCCAAAATTTCACTTGCGAAAAAACTTTTCCCCCATAAACTGAGCGAATTGCATATGCGAATTGCATTTGAGACTGTCTCGTTGATCAATCGCAATGCCGAATGGAACAATACACAAGAGTCAGTGTCAAGTGCTAAACTTGAAAATATACCACCTGCTCATGCTCACCTGCCAACCTTCTGTACACAGTGTTATCCGAAAGAAAAATATACACCCTCTCTTGTTCCACGTCGTCGAGCATCGATATCAATTATGCAGGATATGAAATACGAATATATCGTGTAGAAGGTTGTATTTCATCGGCGATGATATAGGCCCCGCAGGGGTAGTACACGAAGCCACACGGATGGAAAATACTTTCTGCATATAGAGAACAGTATTCAGGAGTAACAGTCGTGTGCTATCTTTGGTCTCAACGGCAACGGGTATATAGATTTCGATTAATTATTCCCGCGCGTCGCCCTGTCGTCCGAGAAAAGCACGGCTTTAGTCTGGGTGTGTGCTCGGTACCTCGTGAATAATTCCTTTCCGTGTGTCGCTTTCGGGCTTGCACAGTACATACTACACGGAGGTTCGGGGGGGAGGGGGGGGGGAACTATTTTCATCGTCAAAGCGAATGGAAAATATATCGAATCGTACGAAATACAACGAACAATGGAACTTGTTTTCAAAGTTATTATTCGTATCGACTATATTGGTGCATGCTATAGACTCTTGGTTATCGATTAGCTCTACACACTAATGACACTTGAAGATTAACAAAGCACATCTTGAGCATTAGACGTGCACTGAACTTTCCAGTGGGAGTTCTTTATTTTCAACACCAACTGCTGAGGTTGGAGAACAAAGACAGAATGTTCCCGAGATCCTTGACAAAGTTTTCCCACTGTTGGGATAATCGAGTAAAGACGAAGTGCAGAATTAACATCTTCAACGGGCGAGAGACCGAAATTCGATGCCTCAGAACTTGGCGAGGGAAAGGTCGAAAAAAAAAAAACGAAAAGGAAAGGAGAGACGAGTAAAAGCGTAGTCTGACATGGCTGCTACGAAGACGGTTACACAAGGGCAAGATACAATTTTCCCTGGGTCCAGACACCCTCGGCTTTATTCTGCCTTTTCAAAACCCCCACCCTCCGCCAGTTCTCTTTGGGCTTCTCTCATCCGACAGTTTTTCAACTTTTCAACGTAATACAGTCTCAGAACGAATTTCCGACGAGTGTTGAGAGGAAATTTCGTTGAATCTTTCATTACTGGCGCATTATTTACTGTGGAGTCTCGACTGTTGAATGATATTTCGGGAATTTCTCCGAGAAATTCCCGGTAGAATTGTTTTGACTCTTGTGTTTACGTTCGGGGGACAGTGGGAGGTTATTTAATAGGAAAATAACACTGACCTTTTACGGAAACTCCCAGGATGACGACGATCACCACAGACAGCAGGGGCTGCTTCATTTTTTATAGTATCCAATGCACTTTTAATTCAAAATTTAATGACAATATTTCAAGCGGTATATAACCGTTAATCACTGCAACACAATCATCGTACTGAACACTTCTGCCTTTTATAATCGTCGGATTACCAATTCACAACAATAGCACTTGCTAACAGGAAAACACGGCACTCTTGGGGGCACCGGACGGGTGAGTGAATATGGAGACAGCGAGATTGTCTGTTTATATCGGATTATTTTGTTTTGGTTGGGTCGATTCGCGATGTTCAACCTTTGTTTTGGTAGTTCTCGAGGCCTGAAGAACACTGGGAAGAACTGTTTTCACCGACACTGGTCATCCTATGCAATGTTTTGGCGATTAATTAGTGACATTAATGTGTTTAACCTATCACAATTGAATTATCACACTGATAATTATTCAACACCTATAGAACATTTAATATACAGTAGTTCAATTTCTTTAAACTAATCCACTTTGTCAAAACACTTGATCACTTGTCCTCTCAATCACAATTGTGTTCATCATATTTTCACTGATTTCATCGCTTTCGTCAAGTCAAATTAACAATGTTTCATCAATTTTCAGGACTATTTCACTTCCCGATGTCGGTCGTTAACATTTACGCAAATCCATTCGGTAATGAACGAATTATTGAGAGGAGATCCTCCGAAAATTGAATGTATCCTCGGAAAATCGCGAATCTCCACGGTAAACGCTCTTGACAACGCGGCGGTCGTCTTTCGACTGTCGACGCTGAGATTCAGACGCGGCGCCACGCGCCCCCACGTTACCACTCGGCTGTTTCCGCGGGTCCTCGCGCTGGCCGAGCTTCGGGGATATGCGCGCGTGCGCGTACAGCCACATGCAGCTGAGAAGAGTGAGACGCAGGGCCGACCGTACGAAGGGTTGAGCGGCTGGATTACATTGCTGGGGATCGGTACCCTCCACAATAGAAGGTCCCACTAGCATCAACAATGGATCGCCGTTTCATATTCCATTCCAACGTTTTTTTTTCTACACTTTTGACACGATATTTCCCACTTTTTGTTGAGGAACGATGCACAGGGAATAAAAATTTTTTGTGAGGAAGAAAAAAATTTCGGAATCGAGAAAATTGTTTTGCAATGTTTATTAATAAAAGAGAGTTAGGGTGGAGTCATTTGAAGGAAAAAATCATCATTCATAATGAACGAATCAAAATATTAAAATATTTTTCGTTGACAGTTGGACGACTTTTTATTGAGGAGTGATGCACAGGGAATATAAATTTTTTGATTGGAGAAAAAAATTTCGGAATCGAGAAAATTGTTTTTCAATGGTGATTAATAAAAGAGACCTATTTAGGGTGAACTCATTTGAAGGAAAAAATCATCATATTCATAATGAACGAATCAAAATATTAAGATATTTTTTGTTGGCAGTTGGAGGACTTTTTATTGACGAGTGATGCACAGGGAATAAAAATTTTTTGTGAGGAAGAAAAAAATTTCGGCATCGAGAAAATTGTTTTGCAATGTTAATTAATAAAAGAGACTTAGGTAGGGTGGACTCATTTGAAGGAAAAAATCATCATATTCATAATGAACGCATCAAAATATTAAGATATTTTTTGTTGGAAGTTGGAGGATTTTTTGTTGAGGAGCGATGCCCAGGGAATACAAATTTTTTGATTGAAGAAAAAATTGCTGAATGTAGAAAATTGGTTTACAATGTTAATTAATAAAAGAGACTTATTTAGAGTGAACTCATTTGAAGAAAACAAATCATAATATTCATGGTAAACAGATCGAAATATTAAAATATTTTTTATTGGACAGTTAGAGGACTTTTTGTTGAGGAGTGATACACAGGAAAAAAACAATTTCATATAAATTAAGGATGTTTATCCAAAATCGCTAGTATTAAAAAAAATTGATTTTTTCAACTGAGAGATGAAGTTATTCCCTTTATCTTGATGAAAATTTCAACATCAATCCCATAAGAGCCCGCGTATAACGGAAATTTTTTTTATTTATTTCTCGCGAGACTATTGCGATTAATTGTTTTTAACATCAAAGAAGTTAGTTTCATGTTCTGCTATCAACCAAAAAAATTATAGAATTTTCCTTGAACATGAAAAAATAAGAAAGACATCATTATTTTATGATTTTATTATTATTAAAGAAATTGTTATTTTGGAAAAAAGCGCCACATTTGGAATGTACAAAGCGTCAAAATATTTTTTCAACGCTGATTAGAGCAAAATAAACAATTCGCGGTCACGTAAATTAGAGTCTATTTGGCATACAGTTAATACAATGAAGACAATCAACTCCTCGGTCGGTCTGTGTATAGCACGAATGCTTTCTTCGTGACTTAAAACGATTATTAGCCACGAAGAGCGGTTGTACCGCGTGCTGGAGAGTTGTGCCGTATTAATCTCGCCTTCAGTTAAACCAACGTAATAATATAACAAACCCGAGTCACAAAAAACTGCATGGGCCCACCACCAGCGAGCAATAAATGATAGATCAATGCAGGTTATCGTACCCCCAACGACAACAAAATCCTTTTTTCCCGTCAAGCGAACGTCGATTCACGTATTCACCTTCCAGGCGATAATGAAACGCTCGCAAACAAATAGCTCTCGCATGTAACAATGCGTATAATTAAAGAAAAAAAAAATTTGTAATGCATATTTTACTAATAGTTAAAATATAGAATTAAAATTCTATTAATAAAGTTGAAACTCGAGAGCTGCTATGCCATAAGTTTATATATTAAATTTAAATACTGTACATTAATTTTTTCCAAACTTATTTTTATATATGTAAATATTGTAAATAATTGTTGTTATCTGACGAAAAAAATTGTTAAACAAAAAAAAAGATGAAACGCTCGCAGAGAAGAATAATGCCATAATAAATTAACCTCTCGAGTTGAAGAACCGTTAATCAACTGGAATTTGAGAAATAAAACATTTTTCGGAGAATATTCACGCGAGACTATTTCAAGGCACTGGTGAAGTATATTTCATGTTCACATATCATTCTTTATCTCATTGATAAATTCACCTCTATTCTCCATTGTCCTGCCTGCCTTTTAACCTCGAGGCCACAATACACCATCATAGCTGCAAGATCCCCCGGTGGTGTGGTGGCACGCAGGTTAACTCCAACGGATTAATCGAGAACATTGGCTTTGGATTCTCCTCTAAAAATCAGCCAACAGCCATTTATTTTCAGGTATACAGGCAATGCTGAGTGATTATTAACAGTTTAGCTAAGGGGGTGAATAAATTTGTTTTCCTACCGACCGCCCACATAGAGAGTCCCTTCTCTCAGCCGTGCCGCCCTCGATCAACTCACTGGCATCTATAAAAAATAGAAAAGTGGAACGTTAGATTTTTTTGTGATGATATCATGTTCGTAAATGTTGGTTCGAGTTGTTGAAGCCGTGTTCTGTTATTCATTTGACAGTTTCATTAAATACGGTGATTATAATATTTTTTGTAGATCGATGTGGAAGTATTTTAAATATTGTAACAATAAAGTACTCTTCAATAATTGAGAAGTTACTCAACATTCAATAAAGAAATGAATTATTTTAATTTGAACTCGAGAATTTATTGAGTCACTTTACTGCCCTCCAAGGACTTTCTGAAGTTACTCTAATGTTCATCATTTTTTAATGGAAATTTTTAATAAAAATAATCCATTTTCTCCGCTATTTCGTTGAGAAACACAATAACCATTAGTCTCGTGTCACCAATTTTTTATTTTTCCCTTTAAAGCGAAATGTAGCATTCAAACACTGTTGCTTTCTCCAATGCCTCTCCTCCCATTTCAAAGTTTTCCATTATGAACCGCACTTGGCCTCTAGCTGTGTTGAGCCTGTATATTCAACGGAGTCAAGGATCCATGACGAAATCACGAACCAAGTGGTAATAAAGAGAGAATAGGAAAGTGGCGATGGTGGAAGGGAAATATAAGTCATGGAGGGTGCGACAAAAAAAATTTTGGCCGCGCGGAGGAGAGGAGTTGCTGTAAAAAAGAACATACTAAATAAGAGTTGTGAAAAATATGGTGGTTTCAGGAGCCTACCGCACCCTTAAGTGCCCTGGCGCCCCTTTGCTCCTTTTGCGACTGGATGTCATACATCAGGGTGTCTGAGTACCAAAGCTGCGCTAACCAAATTCCATTTGCCTGTTAGGGAAAGCAAAAAGAATAACACTTTTGTCACTACCGGGGTGAAGGATTAGTTTCAACATAGAGTGGGGTAATTACGAAGATGGAGGTTCAATTCTAATCGAATGACCGTTACATTAATCAAATTCTGGGGTGCAAGTGCCGGGGATTGGCGAAACTTTTATGGATATTGTGTAAGTTTACGATAATTCGGGGGAAATCCCTTAAGGGGAAACTGCTGAGAGGTCAGGAAGGGTCAAACGTGAGTGTGTGGGATGGGGATGGCGCATTTCCTTCGTTGATATATATTTTTTAATAATTTACTGCTCTTCTTTTCATTTCAGTAGCGAAGTGATAAAACGGTACAAGTCAATTTTGATTATTGACCAGTTTTCAGTGAATATCTCGGAATCTAAGGGAGATAGAAAAATATTTTTAAAACCTTTTTTGTAGAGCCAATTGAGAGCTACAACAAATGTAATTACGAAAATTTCGCTATCTCTCTTAGATTCGGAATAATTCCTCAACAAGTCAACTGGGAGATGAGTCGACTTAAACCGTTTCACCACTTCGCTAAACAGTTTTTCATTTCAATTCGATGGAAAAAAAGTCTAAACATGTTCACATTAATCTAGAAAATTGTCGAGAAAATAAAATCGATTGAAAAATGGAAGCACTTGATGGCTAAAACTCATTGCTCAATCGTGAAAAATACTTTTATTTTAAAAGTCCACTCGTCAGACATGCGTAACGCAACGGATACAGCCTCGTGCGATCGCAGCCGTCCAGTAAAAGCTAGCCGCACGAGCTTGGCGATTATCATTTTTCTATAAA